TCCTGCTGCAGATGCTCTTGTTCACACAAACATGATCCACAGCTGGAGGGCACTTTTAGACACCTGGGCTGAATTCCTCCTCTTCTTTGAAATCCAGGAGCAGCTGCCCTCCAGCACCTCCCACCTCCACTGCCTGAGCCTGCACAGCAGTTTCTCTGCTGGATGTGAGATCCATCAGTTCTGATCAGCTCGTGTCAGTGCTCTCTTCAATATAAAAAAGCCCCTTGATACCTGCACTGATAAGATATATTTCCTAAAAACCTTTTCAACCCCTCAAATTCTGGTGGAATTTAAAACTATGCATTAAAAAGAAGAAAAAAGAAAGGGCTTCTTCACAAACTTCCAAAGACAAACCCTGTTGGTGCTAGGCAGTGGGGAGCCTCTACCAACAGGCTTGATCCAAACCCAACTGCCAAAGGGCATTGTGCAGTGGAGAGCTTCTCTAAAGACCCTGATTTTGCCTTGTAAAAACAGGACCCATTTTGTCTGTTCCGACTCCACTCTGCAGGACTAACCAGTCCCTCCTGCTGCTCCCCCACCCCATACACTCCTCCTTCCCTCTCTTTGTTACCTACAGACTTTTGGGCACTATTTTATCAAAAGAGCTTGTTTCTTTGAACTCTGCCTGAACAGCAGCTCAAAGCTTTTGGTACTGCCTCTAATTACCTCTAGCTGGCAGGGCATGTTAACTCTCATCTTCAGCTTTTTCTGCATAATTGCAGTCAGAAAATGTGATGACCTACTGCATGAAGCATGTTCAGTCTACATGGGAGACATTCTTTATAGTGGGTGTATACTCACCTACCTCTCCCTTCAATCACACAAATTCATCCATGTTTTTTTTCTGCTAGCAAAATTTTTAAGAACCCAGCATAGCATCTCCTTTGCCTCTCTCTTTGAAGAGGCCAGATTCCTCTTGCTGCTAATTGGAAAATCTCCTCCTCCTCTCCTTCTGTAGCCTTCAAAGCAAAGATATCAGTCCCAAGCAACCTATGGTCCACATGGCTCAGGCAATTTAAAAGCAGTTGCAGGTGGTAACCCAGCCTATCATGTAGCGTTAGTCAGAAGATCCTATAGCCACTGGGGGTCCCATCGTGGAACGCTCAAATAAGGGGTCCACTGCTGCCATCAGTGCCATAAACAAGATACACGCAGGAATTATTAGGGTGAAGACAAGCAGGTAAACTGTGTTGAAATCACAGAATGCTTTGAATTGGAAGGGACCTTTAAAAGTTATCTAGTCAAGCCGCCTGCAGTAAGCAGGGACATCCCCAAGTGGACCAGGTTGCTCAGAGCCCCATCAAGCCAGACCTTGAACGTCTCTAGGGATGGGGCTTCCAATATCTCTTTGGGCAGCCTGTGCCAGTGTTTCACCACCCTCATAGTTTCCTCAATCTTTCCACCAATTTCACTAGAGGGAGCTCTAAGACTAGAAAACAGTATTGGCAAATACAAAGGCAACATGCAGAAGACCACTTCTGGATTTTGTGGGAAAATCAGTTGCTGGTAACTGCACTGAAGATGCCATGCAATTTCTGGTGGGCCTGGAGGTTCTGGAAAATGCAACTCAGATCTGTGCCTGCTGAGAGCAGGAGGAATAAGTGCGTTACAAGACAATGTGCCTGGATGAAGGGATCGAGTGCACCCTCTATTTTGCAGACCATACAAAGCTTATCAGGACCATAGATCTGCTTGAAAGTAGGAAGGCTCTTCAGAAAGACCTAGACAGGCTGGAATGATGGGCTGAAGCCAATTGTATGAGCTTCAACAAGGTCAAGCGCTGGGTCCTGCATTTGGGTCACAACAACCCCAGGCAACGCTACAGGCTTGGGGAAGAGTGGCTGGAAAGCTGCCTGGTGAAAAGGACCTGGGGGTGTTGGCTGACAGCTGTCTGAACATGAGCCAGCAGCATGACCAGGTAGCCAAGAGGTCTAACAGCACCCTGTCTTCTATCAGTAAGTGTGGCCAGCAGGACTAGGGAATCGACTATGGCCCTGCACTCAGCACTGGTGAGGCCACACCTCGAGTACTGTGTTCAGTTTTGGGCACCTCACTACCAGAAAGACACTGAAGTGCTACAGTGTGTTCAAAGAAGTGCAACGAAGCTGGTGAAGGACCTAGAGAGCAAGTCCTGTGAGAAGCAGTTGAGGGAACTGTGGTTGTTTAACATACAGAAAAGGCAGCTCAGGGGAGACCTTATCGCTCTCTAAAACTACCTGAAAGGAGGCTACAGTGAGGTAGGTGCTGGTCTCCTCTCTCAAGTAACAAGTGATAGGACAAGAGGAAATGGCCTCAAGCTGTTCCAGGGAAGGTTTAGATTGGATATTAAGAAAAAATTACTCACTGAAAGGATTGTTAAGCATTGGAACAGGCTGCCCAGGGAGATTGTAGAGTCACCATCCCTGGAGGCATTTAAAAGATATGTAGATTAGGTGCTCAGGGACATGTTTTAGAGGTGGGCTTGGCAGTGATAGGTTAGTGGTTGGACTCCATAATCTTAAAGGTCTTTTCCAACTGAAACATTCCAACATTCCAAGCACAACAGAAGCAATCCACATTCATTTTTTTCTCTTTATGCTGCTTCTTCATACTTGCAGCCTTCTTACTCTGTGTACAAAGCTTAAAGGTTTATTTTAAACTTCCATTTTCCAAAAGTTTTTCCATCTGAGACCTAATTTCTCACAAGAGTTACTGAGTCAAGGGAGCTCTTCACTCAGAAGCAGGGCCTGTGTAATCAGCGTTCAAAAATCCAGGTACCACTAGGACAAACCTATCAGCTCTGAGACCTCCCTTTCAACCCACCGAGTAGCTAGGGCTGCAAGATTCTAGTAATAAATCTGGATGGCTATTATCTATTAACTCTGTATTATCCAAGTAGCACTAATCAATAGCAATGGGGATGATGAAAGGTACAGCAACCTCAGAAGCCAGGGAGAACTCCAGGTAGATGGCTCTGCCTTATTTCCAGCAAGAGAAAATCAGTAAGAACTTTAAAGAATGAAATCTGTAATCCCCACAAAGCATTACTGACTGCTGTCCTTTGCAGTCCTCTGCTTCCGAATTTTGCAGCATTAAGATTAGAGAAAAACAGTGCACGTCTCAGAATTCCAACTCATACAGAGATTGTCATCTTTTCACAGCCTTCCCATACTCACCCTCTGTTTACAAACTGTCCTTTGCTGACAGTATCTGCTTCAATACAAATATCCATGAAGTCTTCAGTGCGCTAGGCAAAAGAGTTCAGAAACCAAGCGGTTAACATTTCAAAATGCCACACCCATGATACTGCAACCTGTTCACAAAATGCCCAGTTCTTTGTCCCACCAAAGGAGGCAGAAGATGCATTTGTGCATTTCATGCTTTTTCCCACTCTCAGTTTGGGATTTGGATTGTAATTTACAGACATTAGTAATTTCTCACTGATGACTATTCAACAATAAATATGACAAGAAGTGAAATGATGATTCACACATTTGGCTTCTTGTTACATTTCACACACTTACTAAAGACAGTAATAGCAGATCACTTTGGTTAGAAATACTTGTCAACAGAAGAAAACCAATGGGTCTTCCATGAATTTAAGCAACAGTGCAATGATGCAACATTTGGCCACCAAACACTACAGTAAGAGATTTTTAAACAACACAAATTGGAAGTCAAAGCGTTCTTGATATCATTCCTTTAAACTCCTTACTTAGCTTCTTTTCTATTTACAGTCTGCCCTGAAACCAAGCCTACAGTAAAGCTTTTGCTGGGAAAGCAGCTTTGATTAAGATGCAATTCATTTTTTATGTATTTATTTTAACATTTTTGTTCTGGCAAAAGTCCTACTGCAGATGCAATCAAAATGACTAAAGTAAAGATAAATGCATCTATTAGTATAACTTATTTTATTTCTTTGCTGTATCTGCAGAGACAGGCTTGGCACAGTCTGAGCTGTACCTGTATGGCTTTATCAGCTTTTCTTCAATGGGGTGGCCTAGCCATGAACCTGAGGTGAGACAGAACGACATGAGTGGCTGACAATACTCAGCAGATGCACCCTGGTATCCATTTGAGAGAGCTGTTGTTCAGCTTTGATGGCTACAGGGACAATGGTTTCAAGAGTGGGAGTTAAAACCAGTTATAAGGGGTCCGCATCTGTAAAAAATGCAGTATCAAGATACTTCCATCTCTAGAAACAGAAAGGTACAGCTGCCCTAACAAATTCGTCCATTTCTGTAGGCTGTGCAAGAGACCTGAGAACCCTACATCACTTCTTTGTTCAATACCAGTAATAAAGTGTATCTTGAAGGCATAAGGGAGAAAAAAAAAGACATTAATAGCTAGTCTGTAGCAATGAGATACTTTTACTTTACATCATTGACTCCAATTCAGTTCAGCAACCAAAACTGTTCTGTTCAAGTGCCATTTAGAAACACTGAAAAAAACAAAACCTCAAATACTAGTTTCTGTCTAGCTTCTACATTACTAGGACACTGGCGGTCCAAATCAGAAGCCACTGAAGAAACTAACCTTTACGTAGTAAATTCTAAGGAGAAAACAGGAGAAAATTTTAAGGCTAGATTTGCCTGTTTGGATTTGTTTCTCTGATCCTACAAAGGTATCAACAGAAATTTTCAGGTTCTTAAGGACCCTGAATTCTGAGCCAGAAACCTGTTGCACTAAATTCAGCACATCCTGTTAATCTCACCAGTATGGGATCCCTGTGTTAATATTTTCCAGTAAAATTAAAGACTGACATCTATTCAAATAGCTTCCACAGCACTAAAATTGCACCAAAGCACAGATATAAGCCTAAAACAACTTTTAAAGCAGTGCATGAACAGCATGAACATGCTAAGAAAGTGATGACAGGACCTGTTTTCCGTGCCCCCTTGCTTCTACCCTTCCACAACCACCTGCATTTTCTGTCCTTCAGCTTGGTGTAGCCCCTGTCCCTTCTCTCTAGTTCCAGTTCATTTTAACTCTTTACTAGCAAAAAGAGAGAGAAGAAGCCACAATTCCAGGCAGACATTCAGGTCAGCTTCCTTCCAGCACCAGCTGACAAAAGAGAATCTATCCTCCAGAGGTCAAGAAGAAAAGGAGTGCCTATGTCGATGCTTGTGTTTTCCCCTGGGCAATCCTAAAGCTTCTGTTTGGCTAGTGAAACCTTCTCATTGCACAAACTGGTCCTGATCCTGCTGCATCCATTTTACATGGGTCTCCAGTGCTTTTACACTGGCTCTGAAACTTGCTCACTTGTGGATTCAGTCACGGGCCCCTCCTTGCATGGGACAGTAAGTTTTATTTGTACAGACACAAGAATGGGAGTTTAGCAAGACAGGAAAACTGTCTGCAGAGGCAGCATTTGGCATGCAGTTATACTGTGGTCTTACCGCCAGATCAAGCTGCCTGTTTCGCGTTGCAATGGAAAGCTCAATGGTGGACAGATTCAGTTCCTCCCAGTCCTCTGGGGCTACCTCCTGGGGGACTTCTGCAAATACAGAAAAGGAGATATCACTAAGTGGAATTTAATTACACAGATCATCATTCCACTGCTATGAAACATGAACCATCAATGGCAGCTGTCAAAATTACTCTGACCCATTGTGAACACTAGCTTCGTTTCCTTCCAATGTCAAAAGCTTAAAGATTAAAAAAGGAAGCCTGGGAGTACTGAAAGAAAGAAAAAAATCAGCACCAGTATTTGCACAGTAGCAGGAACGACTGTGGCAGCATCATGCGGCAGCCCTGTGAGTCCTTATGCCCAGGCACTAACAGATCTCCTGGGCTAGCATCATAGGAAAGTTTAGAAAACACATGAAGTGCTGCTATCAACAAACAAGGAATGCAGGGTTCAGATGCTGAGGTAACATATAGGAGATATTGTTGCGCGGGGAGCCCCAGATTCACGACACATTTCACAGAAGGTTCGTCAGTGTTCCGCTTTAATCTGCACAGGCAGCTGTATTTATACACTCGGTGACCGATCACACATAGTTTATACTTTCGTATTGGTTAACACTGCATAGCCACGCTCTATCCCCCTACCCCGATAGGTTAAATGTCTCTGTCCACGCGCCAAGGCGCTGACAGGGTGGTCTCCTGCTTGCAAGTTCCGGCCAAGCTTTGATCTGCGCAGACGCTGTCGAGCTGTCCCCCATGTCCTTCCTGCCTAGAGTCTCAAGGGCACGATGCCCTTGAGGTTCACCTCCGGTATTTCATCATCTTCCTTGTAGCCTGAGCTGAGCATAAGGGCTTCCAGAATGCCATCTTGTGACGCAGCTAAAATTCCCTCTACATGATATGTTTTCTACATCTTTTCTATAGGAGAAAGCTCCATGGTTCAGTTCTCACATACAGGTCACTTAGTTTATGCTTCTGTCTAAATCACCTCTGCCAGCCAAGAAGGAATGAATACTTTGCATCACACTATGTTGTACAAAATACACTCTCCCCTTCCTTCTGCTGTCTGCCACGAGCACAGCCTGGCTAACAACCCAACCCAAGAGAACCTTCACAGAGCACACCAATAAAAATTTATGGTACGGAAAGAAATTTAATGTACTAAGAGAAACTTAAGGCTTCTGCATGGCCTGAGTTTTATTGTTCTATTTTAAGTAACATTTGTTACTCTTGTGTCAGCAGCTCTCCCCATCCTGGAAAACAATGGCTGCTCCTCTGTCACCAGCTCACTAAGAAGCCATTTTACAGGAGGAAGATTTCAAGGAGCTTAACCCTAAGTGTCAAGTATCACCTCTCGAGGCTTCTATAGCAATGGCAGGCAACTGTGAGCCCAGGGAACACCCTGGGTTCTTTACGCGACTGCACTTCTGTTCATGAGACAGTCCTGCACTGGCGGGACAACTCTGTTTCATTTCTGGCAGATACCACTGTAAGTAACTTGACAAAACCACAGTTTTAATAAATAAGAAATATTACGACTAATAATATTAGAATATGAAAGAAGAAAAGTAAAGCAGGAAAAAAAAAAACTCTCTGATCTATAGATGAGCAAACCCTGCCTGTGAGTTTATGCCAAAATACACACACCTCACCTTTTGGAGGAGGTGACCAGTATAACCGAAGTCGTCTGTAAAGCCTCACATATAAAGGAGGTCTGGGCAGTTTCTCCTCTGGCTCTTCCGGAGGTCTCTCAGTTGGACCAAGATACATGAGAGCAGCTTGATGTTTCTGAGGCCATTCCTTGGATTTACATGGTAAGGAAAGACAGAAGATAAAGGGCCTTTTATTCAGCATCCATCTGTTTATTCTGTTCAGTCCTTTAGCCTATTTCTTCTCTGCTCCCAAGTACTCCTGCAGAGCTACCCACATCTCACTGCTGTCTCAGCCTAGTTGGTGGCTCTCTATCTCAATTCACATGTGAGATGACATTTTTGAAGCTTGAAAAAGATTACTCATAGTTCCCAAGCCTGATAATCTACTCCTTTGCCACACAGAAGTGAAGCATTTTCCTCTCTATAAGCAGAGGGTTAAAGGGATGGGTTTTTTGTTGCTGATGTGTGGCAGGGTGACACAGCTGCTTCTGGCTGGAGGGAACAGCCAAAGCTGGCAAGGTCAACATTAATGTTTTAAAGCACAATTGGTTTCTTCATGGCACAAAGGTAACCTCAAAGAGCAACAGTGCAGTAGGGGCTAATGCAAACACACAAACACCACAGTGCTGTGTGCAGCCACTACAACCTGGCAGACCTTTACTCTCCAGCAATTCAAACAATCAAGTTTTGACCTTATAGCCCTGTGCTTACAGACGTCAATACAACACATCTTAAGGCAAGTCAGGTGAGGTTTATAAAACATTTGAGGGAAAAAAAAAAAAAGGTAGTAATGTAGTAACACACTGTTCTCAGTGATATTTCAGGCTCCAGTGTCAGGAACCAATGGGCTACAGAAGAACCTTATATCCTAAGATACTTCCAGATGCTGACAAAGTTTATTTCCTCTAATTTTCTTTTAAAAATAGCTTCTGGAACACTTAAAAGACAAGACCTATGGAGAGAATAATATGATTATTTTTAAATGCATATACTAAAATAACTCAGCCAAGAGCACACGTACTAAATACAATTATTTTCCTATGCACAAACTCTAGAAGTAGTTTTGGACTGTGACAGCACAGGTTGTTAAGCTAATTCACCTCACACCTCTGAGAGCAAGGAAAAACTCCACAGTCATACTCAGATAATAAACAGGACAAAGAGAGGTTCTATCAGAAGGGCAATACACAAACAGTAACTATTAATGATTAAAGGGAAAAGCAGCAATGTTGTGATAATTTAAGTTTGTATATTTTAGAAGAGATGATAACACTCATATCAATGCCCCTACCAATATCAAAGGTAAGCTCTTTCGTCTTACACTGTTTTCAGCTACAAGTCATCCTGCTTCAAAGGACAGCTACAGCAAAACCAGAAAAGATGAAGTACACAGCAGCAAAGACAAGCCAAGAAGAGATTAAACTCAACAGTCTGGAGTAATTTATTACAGAAAATAACAAAATAATAACATAAGAGGCACATAAAGCAATAAATACCACAATTAGGGGAGAACTTTTCTACCTTCATAGCAGAAAAAGCAGGCACTTCTCTTTAATGTCCAACAGGTTAAACAGATCTGTTTAATGTACAGTGACTAGTTCACCAGTGAAATCCACTGCCACTAACTGAGGCTAAGGACTCAACAGAAGTGAGAAAGAGGCTGGAGGGAAGTGAAGAATAGTTTCTACATAGAATGCCAGCACACTGAATCATCATCTCAAATTTCCTGAGGATGTGGGGAGGGAAAAAAAAAACCTTTCATGGACACATTACCATTTAACTCTTCTTTACAGGAGCTTCCTATTAAGGAAGCATGGGCTCTATCACAATCTGATCTACTGTACCAGCTCCTGGGTATCTCTACAGCCTTTCCTGAGGCTCCTTATATGTTCAGAGAGCAGGGAAAGCATGTGAATGAAAATGCCTCACCCTTCACGCAGGTTAAATTTTAATCTTTCCAGGATCAATTTTAAGTAACAGAGGGGCTTAAGGTGAGATATAAGCTATTCACCTTCACGTTCATTTCACTACACATGGAAGTCTGATTATCAACGTGCATGAGCAGTCTAATTATAGACACTTCTGCCAGATAAATAAATGAGAATGAAATGTTATCATAAGAAAGACTGTTGAGAAAAGGTGGCAGTGCATTTAATGGCTATCTTTAGCACCACCACTGCTCTCGTTCAAAGGTGGTTTCTGGCTCCCCCTGGTAATCCTGCAGCAACAGATCCTCAGTAAAGAATTTTTTTAAGTATTCCCCCTCCATCTCTTCTGAAGTCTATCAACTGGTAGGTTTTTAACAAGTCGAATTTTGCTCCCATTTTATATTATTGCCAGAATCCTTCACAAAAGCTTGCAGATAAATGATAAAAAGTGTAGTCACCTTTTTTATTTTCCAACTATAAAAACACTTTCCTTGCAATTACTCTTTACCTTAAATGTACTGAAAAAGTGAGCTGCTTTGGTTTTTAGAGGCCCAAGGTACCAATACCTGAAAAAAAGAACACAAATACAACTTCTAAGATATCCAGGGGTCACGACTGAAAGGGAGAAATCCTGCATGAAGCCAGAGCACAGACTTGTTTGCCACTGAAGTTAGTGCTGCTGTAAAACCTTTAGCTTTGTGATACTATGAGACAGTTTGTACACATCAACAGCAGCTCAGAGATTTTGCCTTTCCCAAATCACTGATCACCAAAATGCAGTATACATGGAGGCAGCATGACACCTCTGTAGCAGAATTTTACCTAGCTATGTGACACAACTGGGAATGATGGAAAGGTCTGTGCTCTAACCGCTGGTGGGGTCTGTCTCCACAATAAGCAATAAAGAATGGGGTTGGAGGAAACAAACAAAAATCAACAGCTTCAGTGTTGCTGTTCAGCAAACACCCGTTTGCCCAAAAGGATTCTCAGATCAAACCCAATGTTTTACAAATTAAAAATCCTGCCAGCCATACAGCACTGGATAGAGTCTAAAGATGTGACTATATTTAGGCAGGCTTGGCACATTTTGATCACTGCCTTCCACCAAAGAGGGTCAACAGATGCACATTAAATACCATCAGCTCAAGAGCACTGCAGATCTATGTATATCATTAATTACTAAGGTGTGCAATTGTCACACCACTCCCATCAAGCCATGATATTGTCTATAAAATAAAATAATAAAACCTCAAAACCATAAAGCAGCACCATGTTTCCACCAGGACAGTGGTTAGCAGAGGGACAGTCAGTCAGGCAAATTTCTGGAACTGTGGCTTATGGCTTAAGTCCCTTTGTAGTAGGTGCCTGGTTTTTGGTACTGGAATACCCAAAATGTTTCCTTAGCCCAATAACCCATCTCTCATGGGGACCAAAATCAGATGAAGAGAAGTAAAACAAAAGGCCAGGCACATGTGGCGCTTGTCCCAAGCACACTCTGAGCACCCATTTATTTGAGCCTGAAGTGCTTTGCAAATTGGACATGTTTTCCATGCATTTGAAAACATTCATGGAAGAGAACAAGGCCTGAGAATGTCCACGCTGCCCCATGCACAGAAGGCACTGTCATGCCTCCAGCACCAAGTCCAAAAGACTCTGATGAAGGGAACTGCTGCAGGAAAAGATGTGAAGGCTGACACCAGGCAAAAAAACAGGGCATGGGCAGGAAGTCCAGTAAGAGTGCACAGGGAAGAGAAGTGCACTTCCTTAACCTTGAGGCTGAAATTAGCAGGAGATCCTGCAGCACAGCCAAGACAGCACCCGCAGAAGCTACCAAGAACGCCCCTTCCTTCCCATGGACAAACACCTTGACCGTTTCCTGCACCTCCCTCATCCCACATCACCTCTCAAACCTACTCAAGTATTTACCAGACAGACTCCAGAGGTCTGCTACCTCTTGCTTTCTGACAAGGACAGGTCATACACAAAACACATGGTATTTCCTTATAGCTGTGCAGCAGAGGCATGTGCTGCAATTCCTCTGTACCAGTCTGAGAAGTGAACCACTTTGGCCTGGCTGCTCCTTCACCAGAAAACACTAGTCATTTGATACACAGGCAGTGGCACATTAAACATCCATTTGGAGAAAGCCCAACAATTATTAGTTTAGCATTCAGAGAGCAGTCATCAGACAGCACAGTCCACGCCATTTCTGGCAGGAACTGAAGGGCATTTCTACTGCATCTGATGTCCCTTGTTGGAATTAAGTTACAGAGCCTACCTGCATCTTTTCATTGGCAGCTGATGAAAAACAACAGCCTTTTACTTTACTTAGACTTTACTCAAGGGAGAGCTTTTCCCTCTGATACAACCTGAATGAAGTTCCAGAAGTGGGCACCACAAGGCAAGCAGAAAGTAAATACTTAAAAGAACAGGTCAGCACCAAGTATTTATTTCAAATTATAAAAATGTCAAAATGTCTTACACCCTTGAGACCTAACAAGGATTGGGTGCCTCTGCCTGTCAAATGCTGACATACAGAAAAGACTTCTTTACAAGAGGGGGTATGTCATTTTAGGCAACAGATGCTAAAAAAAAAGAAAATGTAGCTTCAAAACCCCATATTTTCTTACTTGCTAGCTTTAACTCCTGCATCTCTGTAGGATCCCCATCTTAAACCAGTCACTGCAAACACAGGCTGCTCCTTTTCTCCCTGTAAAGAAAAATAAACATTGCAAAATTGTTTTCTCTTGTTTCCAGCTTTGGTTTTTGCAGCTAGAAAAATATAATCTCTCTATAAAAAGGGATTTCTGATTAATCCCAAAAGCGAAATTTCACAGAAAAGGTATGATAAATAGCCAACAGAAATAAAGCCAAGCAGAACTTAAGTGTTATATATTCTATCTGCTCCCACAGAGGAACATAAGAGGTGGAGTTCTGAACAGGTCGATTGAGTTTGCACACCCAGCAATAGCCATTTCACTTTGTGGATATTGTCAGCCAAAAGCAAAGAGCTGTGCACAGTGATGCTAAGTCCTTGTTGCAGAAATGTCCATTTTACAATATAACAGGAAAATAATATTCAAAGACCATACTGAGCATAGCCAAAGGTTTTCCCATTTCAAATTTTTCAGTTTGTAAAAGAAAGCTATTAACTCCACAATACATACGAATGCATTAAACCAGCTCAGACAACTATTGTTATCGCTCACCATTTCTAGAGAAACATCAGTGTTAGTAAGTTTTGTATTTATCAGCACTTTCTGAGCCTCAAAATAGATGTTCAGGCATTCTGGTGTTTTCCCCAGTTTAGACTATGTGTTGTCATAGCATAGACACCAGGACTGCTGGTATCATAAACCAAAATCAGTGATACCATTACAGAAGAGAAAAGCAGTCCATATGAAAACAAACAAACAAACAAAAAAACACCCAGGAGAACAGCAAAGTTTTAGGAACACTGGCTGCCAAATAAGCAGATGCTTATACCTTGATCTGCAAAACGTCAAGTGGAACTGTCTCTCCCTTCAAAATGGCCAATGTAGCATTAGTAATATGTCTGGAAAACAAACAGGAAAGAAGGAAAAGAGTAAACTTTAAAATTATACTTTTTTTCAGCAAATACAACAAACCCAGGGAAAGAACTCTGACAAAGTGTTGCAATTCCTTGTAAACAGAAAGCAAACTGGGTGGCTGTGACACACAACAAAGCCTACGTCCTAACAAACAGCAAAAGATCTGAAAAGCAAAAGGAAGTTCTCAGTCTAAGCTTTTCAGAGATTCCTCCTTCTTCAGCTGATCTGGCAGATCACACACCAACTCTGTTACTTGCTGGTTTGGATACTTAATACACTAAGGATCCATATCATAATTTTATTTTATTGGTGGCTAGTGTAACAACCCAGGAGAAAAGGGGATGGTCATAAGATTGGTCTCAAATCATGTGTCTGGACTCAATTGCCTTAGTATGTTTGTTCTGAAGTTTTTAATCAACGTAAATCTACCTATCAGCAGTGCTCACGTGGTTTTGGTCTCCATTAAGTTGTGGACAGTAGCTAAGGCATTTTCTCATTTCAAGTCAGAAAGTGTGGCACTAAAGATTTCGTTACCAAGGTGTTCAAGCTCATAAAGAAGTCTCTGTGTTCAGACCTTGATGCATGTATTTCATTAAAACCCCTTCTTTGTTTTCAAAGTTGTGTAAAATTTAAATTCCCCATTGTGCACACTTCCAGTGTCTCAGCTGGACAGGGAAAACAAAAAAACAAAGCCAAATATAGTTTGCAGACCCAGCCCAATATTGATGTGAAGCCCTTTGCTTCATTCAGCCTAGAACACTGAGGCAGAGAAGGAAGCTGTTCTTCCCTCAGCCCTTCTTTTCTCCTAATTTTTATCTTTCTGTAAGACTTCTACAATTCCTACACTCCAAAGGTAAGACCTAATAGTGCTGAAGGAACCAAAGCCCAAATATTTCTTTTTAAAATATAATTCCTGAACTTCCTAAGTCAGGTTCTGTTACTGGTCTGGACTGTTAAGCAGCCTATTGACCAAACTCCTTTCAACTTCACCAGTATGCTGCAGTCTCACCTGCACAGTTCATTACCTTGGGACAAGAAGATCATTCATTTCAAACAGCTTCTTTAGAACCCAAACATAAATTATTATTTTAATCTTAGCTGCTGATTACAGCCTTGTCCATCTTGCTGAGCTTCAAAGCTCTCTGATAGTTTTAATGAAGGATGTTATGCCAGTTGGCTCATGGGCTTTATGTATGATGGATACCAGCAAGGGTTCCGCAAAAAAGAATATTAATGAGTTACTGGGAGAACCAGAGTGAACAGATTTCAGGAGCAAGGAGAAATACATTCATTAGTATGGGAGGAGAGGAAGGCAAAAAATTGAAAAGAAATGAACTGTGGGAAAAGAAAGATGACTTGACTAGCCTTTTTATTTTACAAGTGGCCAAAACAAATTTACAACAAACTGAAATGGAGGCAACAGATGCAGCCAGACTGGATCACAGACCCAGATTTTTGGAGAGCTGCCAGCATTAGTCCCATCACAAGGACAGGTGAGAAATCAGTAATGGGATCCAGCCTTTCCCATAGAGATATTCTTGTATGCCTGACTTTGCAGGTGTTAATCAGGTTGTAAGTGGACTGATTTCTAGAATTCTGAAACTGGAGAAGAGTTGCAAAGAGGCAGCTTTATTTCATTTTGTCATATTCCTGCTACCAGTGACTATTCCTAAGAGGTTTTTTTTTTTTGAACATGCCAAACTGAGCATCACACAATCACAGAGAAATTAGCCACAGCAATTGATTTCATGTTCTAATAATACATACATTTCTTTCTTTTATTTTTTAGTCAGTTTTTTGAAGTCATTAATTCACGCAGATCCAGAAAACCATCAGGCTCTGCCTAGAGACTGCCAAGTTCTATGTAGCATAAAAGAAAAAGGAAAGTATCAAGCTAGCAAGAATCACTGCTCGTTGAAAGCAAACTTAAAACAAACCCTTTCAGATACACAAAATACTTACTGGACTTGATTCGTGCTCTCAGGGTAGAGCGTATGGCTCAAAGCGCATGTCTTCCCAAGAGGTATGAATCCTATAGGAATCTTACTGAAGACAGCCTGGACACATGAGAAGAGTAAATTAACATTTGCATCATCTGAAGAAGCTTCCTATGTGGAGATCACAGCTGTGTCTGATATCACCCCTTTGGCACTAAGCAGCCAATCAGCTCCTTAAATGAGGCAGTAATGCAGAATGACTCAGAACATGGCATCTGAATCTGTGAACCCACTACTGCCAACTGGGTACAAAGGAGTCCTCTGTAATCACTGAGAACATTGCTACATGCAGGTTGGCAGCCAAGTCCTCACTAATGCATGGATTCTGTCAGCAATCTGCCATCTTTCTTAATACTAACAGTGGCATTGCAAGCTCTGAACCTCATTTACCATTGCAAAAATCCCTCTCTGACAGAGTAACCTTCCATGGCAAAGAGATTTTCTCTGTTAAGAAAAGGAAATTAATTGATTCCTCTGGCATTCAAATCATGACACAGCAGAAGGTCTAATTTTTGGAAGTCACTGACCATATTATTTTTCTGTACCACAGTTCAGCAAAAGTGCTTGTTGAAGGAGCAAGTTATTACACTATACCTCATAATAAACTGTGCTTCTTGAAGCGTGTCAGCCAATCAATGTAAACTACCATATATTACAAGGTACCTTCTCCCTCCTGGGCACTACTGCTAGCAGCACCACAATACCACAAATCCTCTCCTCCCACTTCATGCCCACCCACCCTCCCGCGCTATCTCTGTGTCACCTGCAAGTCTTAACACATCTCCAACACCCTTCTCTCATCTTCTTCAGAACTGTTTTACAGCGTGCAGACAACAGGCTGTTTGCAGCTCATGCAGTCATGCTCTGCTCCCCTGGCTGCTTGGAAAACAGTGTTTCTGTAACACCTTGCACAGGCTCTTCTTATCCAGGCAACAATGGTATGACATACCCAAGAAAAAGGGAAGCAGAGCAGAGAGTGAGGGGGCTGAACTGCACATTTCTACTCCTAGGACAAAGTAATGCAAAGGACAAGACGAATGTCCTTGGAAAAGGCACCAACTGGCCCAGTGACAATACTACAATGCAGTATTCCAACCTAGAGTGTGCAGAATGCAGAAATTTCTACACTACTGCAAATCACCCAAAGCTACATCCAGATAATAAGCGAAAAAACAGAAAAGAAAAACTAACCAGTAAAGCCTCTAAACATTTTCTTCCTGTATCTTTAGATTATAGAAGTCTCAAGTGCCAACTAAAACAGTACATTTTAAAAATTGATGTTTCAGAACGGATACAGCCATCGCCACTTTAAAAATACTGGCTTGGTTGCAGAGCTTCTCTTGTCACATTCAGACAACGCAACTGCCTAAACAGATACAATTCTAGCTGCCAAGGATCTCATCATAATCTTGTCTGGATCATTTAATTGAGTTTTTGCCAGCTCCTGCCAGAAGGTTTTGGGAACAATGATTCCCTCCTTTCTTCAATAACACTGTCCTCCCTCTTTAAAAAGAAAAATCTCTCTCATTTCCATTCAGAGTGATCCACCTTGAGAGGTTAAAGTTTGCTTTCTACAGCCATCTGCATAGGTAGATATTCACTGCTTGAAAAAATGGCAAAGCAATCATCATGCTATAGGAGCATGGCCACAGCTGAATTCGTTTTGAAGCCTGTACAAACACCAGAAAAACATGTACTTTCACCCGATGCTTCTGCCAAACAAAGCAGCGTACACAGCTGGTCCACGGGTCTTTGAAAGTTGTGCCTTTGGCTTCTCCGCAATCCCTGCTCTGATGCTGGAAAATTCTCAAAGCCACGGCTTGGGAGACATTGTGCTCCCTGAGAAAGGGAGTGAAGAGCAACGGGCAGGACTGCAGGACGCTAGCATGGCCAACTTACTATGGAACAAGCTGGCTCCAGATTAGTAAACAACTATCCGCGCAGAAGGCAGCTGAGGCCAAGAGTGCACAGTGGATGCACAAGACACTTCCTGTAAGAAAAGAAATTTTAAAAAATGACATTCCCTCACCTCATCTGTTCTGCGGAGAAGTCCAGTTATGACCTGAAAAACATGGGAAATGCTCAGCTCTGAGAATTTTTTCCAGTTACAGTAGAAAGCTACAAAATTCATACTACATGTACTCTTTGGAAAAATTTTAAGGAGCAGCTACTCTTTTATGGAAGTTGCTTACAAGGGAAAGGAGGTACATTCAGCATGCAAACATGGTGGAAATAGGAGGGTTATGAGCGCACCCGAGTATATGCTGGCGGCACAATCAATGCTAGTGTAAATGTTTTAGCACTGAATAATGCTCTGCATAATGCAAAAATATCCCTGGTCGGTGTGCAATTAACAATAATCAAGTCTAAGGCCAGAAGAAACTTACAAATGTATTCTCACCACCTTCTCTTAAGGTCATTGCATTTCATTTAGGCACTGCCTTATGAAGCCAGTAGCTAGCATTCCAGGAAATGCTTTAATAAAATACAGCCTTCCTTGAAAAACAGAGTAAACCCCAGTTCTGCTGGTAGTTCTCTCCTGTCATTAATCACCTTGACAACAGGCATTTATTAAATATATACCATGCTTCCTTATCACTCCCACATAATTTTTAAATTATTTGATTCCCACCTAGAAAAACATGAGTTCCTCTTGGGGAGTACAGATAGGAATGAACTTTGAAAATTAAACCATTACAGCTACGTTACACAGAAAATAATAAAGTTAGATCCATGTCTCCACAATTAATTTTCTCATTCTAGAAAAAAATTCTGGAAGACAGTTAATGTCACACACTTTCTGCTCCCACTCCCCATCACCACTTTTAGAATAATAACAACTAGCAGTTTTCTTGCCCCAAGAAGATTATAATATTGACTGTTTATACAGATACTAAAATGGAAAAATCTCTAGTATTAGTTGTTATGATGTTGCTATGTTATGGAGTCTCAACCTTCTCACCCTCAGCCTGACTATGATTCTTAAGAAACTGGGACAAAGCTTCTGTAGTACCTCTTGCACTGTGCCATCTCCTCCTGCAATAATGATCAGGTCTGTGTTTTCCATCAATTCCAGCAGCTTTTTTGCTTGTCCCTCATAATCAGTCTGAAGAAACAGAAATACAGACGTGAGAACTCAAGTGACTATTTCTAGGATTTCTCTTCTCTAGAAAAAAAAAAAAAAAGAACCATCTACCCATTTGCTTAACGGTTATTCTCACACAGGCACACAGTACTGGCTATTACTTACATCCACTGAAACGTCTTCAGCTAATAAAACAAGTCTGCTGCCTAATACGATATGTGCAAGCACATACACAAAGGCTAAATGAAATAACAGAGCAAGTCTTATTAAATACATCTAGAATATTACATCAATAAACATATTTCCAGGTAGTTCTACACTGAAACAAACCATACTCCTGCAGAAGAAGTCTCAACATCTTTAGCAGCCAAAGTGCTCACACGCATCTCCTGAAACACAAGAATCAGCCACAAAAAAGGCTACCGCCCAACAGCAAGCTGTTGACAACAGGTGGAGAACAGTTTCAGCAGCAAGGAGCTCCTTAATTTTCTCTCTTAGGATAGGACAATGTACTTTCAGCCATTAAAGGCATTAATGAAAGATACATATTAGACCACTTTACTGCTAGTGACTATTAAGCCACATATCACATACTAAGCCACACACCACAGCCTCAAAAACCTGCAAAAATTTCGGAATCCCTTCATGTTTACTTGTTGTTCTCTTTCCAAGCAAACCAGTCTGCTAATTCACACTATTTGGAGCTCAGTGTTCTGCTTTTGTGATGGGAACGTTGAATTATTTGGGGATACACCAAGACATTTTCAATGTAAAAATAAAAGCTTATTTTTAATTAATCTGAACAGCTCCAGTGCACGTCAAAGTTCCTCACTTCTTAATTCTGCAAGTTCAGGCAGAATCGACAATTTCTGCAGTGATGGCCACGCACCAATAGCCAGCACTCAAATATTTAGAGTTTTCTCTCAAACATGAATTATAGAAGGGATACATTAGAAAGACAGACAAGCACATGTACTCCTTTAGCTGAAAATTAAAAACTCAGTACACAGTTTGTAAATTAACTGTGAATTAAAAAGAAAAAGATTAAGTACCAGCTTAATGTCTCAGTATTTATTTCTACCCACAGGAAACCGAGAATTTCAAATGCATCCAGAATTTAATTTCATGTCTCCAAGAGGAGAAAGCAAAGCAGACCATATATCTGTATTAGCAGAACCTATCAGTTCTTACCTTAACTACAGTTACATCCAAGCCAGATAAATGCAAAATTGGAGCAGCATTCTTTTCAAAAAGGGTCCTGGCTTTTCTAGAAATAAGAGTAAAAAATATTTCATTCGTCTGGTGGATCAAAATAATTACAACAGAAAGAAACAAATGAATAACAAGAAGACATCTACTTAAAAACAGGCATACAATCTACACAATCAGTCACTCAACCTGCCAGTCAGGAAAGATGAGATTTCATTTGGTTCAAATGCATTCCATTTCTAGACTCATATCTCAGATGTCAGGTTTTTGTTGCAGTTTTAATAAATGCAGAAGAGGTTATTTAGCTTTCTCCAAAAATAATTTTAAAAATCCAACAAAGCAAGATCTCCAGAAAATAAATTTATTACAAAATCAATGACTCAGCAGACACCAGGCTTTAAGACCACAAAGAAGGCCCATTTAGGTTTTCAGACACTTTTTTTTTTTTTTTTTTTATATTTACTGTTTCATATTATTAAATAAGTTTATTTTATAACTAAAATTTTATCTGGCCTTCTTTGTTTACAGGACTGATGCAATTACTGCCTATAACTGCATAATAAGATAATTATGCCATTAAGTATAAATTCTTACAACAAGTAGAAGCATTAGACTAGAAGTCAATTTATTAACACTCTGCATTTTCCAATCATGGCTGTTTTGAGCAAAAGCACCTCAGTTCAAGGAGTTCCATGTCAGATATATTATTCCTTTGGTACTGTTACTAACAACTTCCTGCTTCTCCCCAAGATGCAAATGATACAAAGCTTAACTGATCAGCAGAAACAGACCAAAATTACTGTTTTTCTGCTAGTGAGCATGCAAAAATAGCAGCCGACCTATTCCAGGAGTCTTGCTCTGAGCCCATATTTAGCCTCTCAGTTTGTGGGCATATCCCTTTCAAGGACAGGTTCCACAGAAGTAATATCACCGCTGGCTAACGTCAAATCTTGAAGCAATCAAGGTCATCTCTTACTTCTACAGTTTTTGAGGACAGAAATGCATCACATACCAAAGTTTGGAAGGAATATGAAGGCACTCTACATACAAAAGAAGGAAAACGTTCAGAACACAGGATGAAAGAAAGATTAAATAGACAGGTAGGCAGATGTGTCTAGAAATCCTTCTTTCATCTCAAGCATCTACTTTTTTCAGCCCAATATTTTTGGTGAAATAAAGTTTGGCATAGTTACATAGCACCAGCTCGGCATCAGAGGGAGGCAAAAATGAGCTCAAAAATCTGGCAGGCTTTTAGTGGATGTCAGAGCAAAAATACAGGAAGAGTGCCTCATAAGTGAGTGCAGGAAGGGGAAATTTTACCCTTTGCAAGCTGCTGGGTTGAGGAACACTGTTGCTTTCTTCAGTGGCATACTAGATGGGATCAGCTGGTTGCCAAAAGCCTAAGTAAGAGAAAAAAGAGCAGAGTTCAGTTGGTCTTCTAAGCACATTGGTAAAACAGTTCAAAATAATGCATCTCTATGAACGTCAGTGGACTTTCAAGCCTTGTGTTGTGGTTTGAGGCTTGGAATGCGGGCGTGACCTTCCAGCAACTGGGAGGACCCCGGGTGAGGGTGAACCATTGTATTCCCTCCCCTTCCCACACACACTCTAAGAGGCAAGAAGTGGGTTCTAATTTCACTCCTGACTTGGAGCTCGGAGAGGGAAGTTGTCCTTTCACTCCGTGGGACCCTGGAACCATTTCTGAGGGGTTTGTATATTTTATTTTTTGTATTTTTCCCCTAATCTTTGTATATATTATTTTCTTTACCTCCCTTTTTCATTTTCTGTTCCTTGTTAAACAATATACTTCATTTTTTTTTCCAAAGTCTCTCTCTCTCTCTCTCGGGGGTGGGGGGGGAGAGGCGAGTACATAGTTCTGTTCCGTGTGGGTCCTGCCCTGAACCCCTTTTTACACGGAACCAGGACACCTTGTGACATTCAAATGACTTCCACCTTCAGTCTCTGTACCGGTCTCCTATTCAAAAAGCTGAACTCTTAGCAACAGCTCACACCACTGCCACAAGTACTCTTTAGCTCATTTTTACAATTCCACCACCGCTTCGTATTTGTCAACATCTGGTTTTCTGCCATGGGCAGAGATCCAGGGAGCTATCCTTGACTTCAAGGTTACTTGCTTTTCCCTCCTTATGTAATTCTCATACACCTTTTCGCATCTTTTTCCACTTCTGTACTTTATTTCTTATCTCTCTTCTGCTCATTTTTGTATTTTTTTATGCTTAAGTCTTTGAAGATATGAAAAATAATCACCAGACAATCTACCCTGACCTATAAGCAAGCACGCTGTTTCTTAGTATTTTTTTTACTTCCTAATTGTCTCCATATAAAAATAATTTAATTCCTCTTCAGCTTTTATTCCACCTCTGAACAGGTGCCTTGATTTTAAATTTGTTTAGAGTTACTCCATACAGCCCCTTGTTCCTTTCAGCTATTTGTATCTATTTCCACAGCTTTGCAGCACAGAACAGGCAAGAAAAAGCAAAGCTTCCATGTATGTTATTTTCCGCTCTGTAAACCTCCTTTAGGTCACTTAAAGGCATCCTCAATACCACACCAAATCAAACCACTTTCTCAAAACAAGGACAACAATATATTCAGCGGTACAGAGGCCCCAGAAACAAAGTAGGAACAAAAGACAACTGTGCTGAACACAAGACACAGTCAACTGTCCCTGGGGTTTTTCCTCTTTATCTTGAAAGTCAATCCTTCTAGGAGCAATTTTTATATTGAAGAAGGTAGACACTGCACACAAAGCACAGCAGATTTTGGTGATAGTTAGCTGTTTAAACTTATAATTAATTCCACTTGCTAACTTCGCTCAGGAAACTTCAATTAAAAGAAGCGCACAGCTGGCTACGTTGCTTAAAACATTCAAATTTCTTCTTCAAGAAAGGAGAAGGAGAGTGGTGGCTGAGAGTAAAGGAATCTTCAAAGAAAGGGAAACAAATCAGTAGCTCTTAAGCTTTACTCAAAAATGAGCTAGAAAACAGACCAACTTATTTTATTGCAATTGTTGTCAGGAACTGGGAAATACAGAGGATCTCTAGCATTTTACAGCTGTTAGAAACAATTAATTATTTGCTTGGGAGGCACAATGTGATGTATTTGCTTGCTCTAAACAACCTAATAAGGCTCAAAGAATTTATGAGTAATGACATAATCACTTCTTTATGTAATATATTTAGACATTTATGTTACATACGGGCGCATTTCTAAAGCAAACACTGATTTTTAAGACAGGAAATAAAAAAATAATGCAACATCTACAAGTCTTTGTTTTAGAGCACAACATAAAGAAAGACAACTTAAAGCTAGACATTACAAATAGAAAGGTATATAAAATTACATATAGAAAGGTATAATTTAGGTAAATCAATTCCTTTTCCAGTTCCTTGTCTACTGCTTGCTCCCAGGTATTGCATTCTGGACTTGTAAGATGATGATCACTATTTTGCAACTATAAAAAAAATGTTCATACAAAGGCTTTATAATGCTTTATAAATTCTAACAGAAAAACTACAAGCCTTTACAGAAAACTATCCCTGCTTCACAGAGTAAGTTGTTTGCCAGCTAAACACAACCTCTTTAAGACATGCTCAGAGTTCAGTAAAAACAATGTCCATCAGCAAGGCCACATTTGCAAAGGAAGGCCACATCCAGCTGACACTGCCTCATTCCAGCGGAAATGTAAAAGGTTTAAAATACAATAAACAGATCCTTTATTATAGAATCCTTCTACGAACATTTGCCATCCCAAGGCGGTCTTCATGAACTGCTATTTAAATTCAGAAATGCATGGTGCAGTCTTTGTATGAGACACTGCTGTAGCAGATACTCTGACAGGAAGGTGAGCACCTCATGAACTTGGTATTGTAACAGGGTTAAAAGCTTTAAAAAATGATGTAAAAATAGTGGGGACCCCCTCACCCCACACTTCGGATTAAACTTTTTCTTGTGTGAGTCTGCCTCTATTTTTCTCCCAATACTTATAAACTATAAACCCAAGCAGCATTTTCCAAGCAATTTCAGATTGTTGCTTTTCTGAAGAATGCATCAGACATTTAATGCCTTACTGCTGTATTGCTGTGTGTTTTCAAGCAGCAGTTGGCACCGACACATCAGTGAGAATGGAAATTACAGCAAGAATTGATTACTAGGCTGTCTGGTTCATTCCGTTCTAATGCAGGAGTCTTCTGCAGGATATTTTCTGAGGCTTTCACAACTGAAATTATAGGAAGCTCTAATGACAGTGCTTTTGCACTTTCATTTATAAGAATAAGCCATAACAGAATAGATCCCATCATTTCATGACTGGAATTAAGAAACAGCAAAGTCAGAATTTCCACAACAGAACTATCTTTGTGTACCAGTCCTTCCTTCGCAGTCGCATCTTTTTGACAGCAAATACACTTAGGTCTTTTAACTTCTCCTTACATACACTTTAGTCAGTGACTTTAAAAAAAAACACCTTAATTTGGTCAGCATGTTTTGAATACTAAGGTATTTACTGCTACTTTTGGTGATATTAAAAGCTTCTATCACTTCGATATTATGCAGTAAAATAAATAATGAAAACAGAAAAACCAAGAATAACTGATACTATGAGTAGGAAATGCATTTGACTCTGAAGCTGTAAGTATGATCTCTGAAGGCAGTATTTTCAGGGAAAGATTTTTCTTTTTTTTTTTTTTTTTTTCATGAGACTTGAACTCCCTTACATCTATCCTGGCATGAAGTTCCATTGCCCAAATCAAGTTCCTGTGAATATTCTTCCTAGAGCAGCAGGCAGGCTAAAATTTGGATTATTCTGGTGTACCAGAGAAGCAGAGTAACCTCAAGGGAAGTTCTTAAATGAGAAAAATAATTCGCAGGCCCCGGTACGTAGCAATGATGGCAGCAGTACCACAGCCTGCAAAATCTCCAAGATCTGGCATGGAGAAGCAAGTTTAGAATAAGCTTAATTTATAAGAGGTAGAAAGACTCTTAAAATCCTACAGCACACTACTGAGGACAGAGAGCCAGTAAGCAGTGTCTGTGAAGTAATGTCACCCACAGGCAGCAGCACTTGCACCCCTGAAAGGCTGCTTATTAAGGACAAGATTTCTTCATGGGAATATTACACTATGGGAATTTGTTCATTGCTAGTTGCCCACGCAGGCCACAAACTACAAAATGCAATAGTCAGCATACTCAGAGAACAGTGATCAGCAAATGGGTTGTCTCCATTAAGTTCCCAGTGCATGGGTTTCAAAAGCACTAGGTCAGTCATCACACAGTCAGGATCAAACAGACGAGGGCAAGGTGTTGAGGACAGTAAGGGAAACTTGCCTTGAAACTCTTACGCAGGTACAGGCTCTGCAGTGGAGATACAGGAGGAGCTGGTGGGTCCCAGCAGAGGCAGGACCAGCTCTGCTCCCCTGACCCCAGCAGAGCATATGCACAGATGGAGTCAAACACCGGTCAGACACTTCATGGGGGTACCTGATCAAAATGACCACCCAAAACCCCATAAAACGCCCCTTGCCTCATTTTGAGAAGATTCTTAAGTCTACAATACACATGTGCAACTTGGAGACCACCCAGCAACTTATATACTCCCCAGAGGAGGACAAATCACTACAAAAACTTGAGAGACGAAGGAATTGTAGCTGACCCACCAGCTACAGACCAGGACCTCGACTCAAGATACCGCTGGATCCACAGGTGGTGAGTGATATCTTTTCTTTTCTCTTATTTTATCCTATCTTTCTTTCCTGTTCTGTCTTACTTTCTAACTCTCTTCTACTCATTTTATATTGAGATTATTAAGTAGTGAGACACCTTCAGCCTTACACTGCAAGTAAGGAAATAGGTGTTCAACCACGTGCCTTTATCCACAATGCTTATTGAGTATCATTAGAAAGAGCCAATAAATAGTTTTGTATTGTTTTCTCAGTCATTGTCATGGCTGCACCACCTCTGTGGCCCTGCCAGGCAGAGGTACCCTATTTTCGGTGGATTACAAAGATTTGCCTCCCTCAACACCCGCCAAGTGGGACGAGACACAAGGTCCCTCCAGCTGAGCACTGACACGAAGCAGTTCGCACCACTCCTGCCCGGAGCAAACCCATTGTAGCGGATCTGAGATCTCAGTTTCCTGTCTTATCAACAAATCGTCTTCCTGGGAGAACTTTCCAGGCACTGAGCAATTACACCTGCAGACACGGAGCTCTAGGTAGCTATGGAAGTAACCCCAACAACAACACTGCCCCGTCCACCACAGCTGCAGCCAGGGCACGGAAGGTGCAGTGCCCTGGCTGCAGCCTGGAGGCCACGCCCACCCTTTGGCACTTCAGCAAAAGAGCACAGATGGCATCATTGTAAGGCTTGTCACGTAGAGAGGGCCCGCTGGGAACATCTCAGGAGCCCTGCACAACCAAGATAAGAGGAAGATTTTAATCTAATTTTATCACTCTAAACGGTATTACCTGGGCTTCTTGGCATGCAGCTCTTCGGAGCAGGTTATCACTATTAGGTAAGACAGAAAAGAGAGTGGACATTAGGTTGTGGAAGTTTAAAACAATTTGCTCATTTTAAAAATGTAAGTACATACCCTTTTTACACACTCTTTGACAGCACTAAAATAAAAAAAATACAGGTTCTTTAAGACCTATTTGACACATTTTAAGGATGAAAACACACCCATTTAAGCACACATAAACAATTCTTTTTTTTTTTCATGTGCACACAAACACCATTCTATAGTAAGGAACAGCAGAAAACAAAGACCAGGATGCCAAGAGTGCTGAGATTACATAAGCTATGAGACACTGTGTAACTGTGATTTATTTTTAAATCGCTATGTAACCATACTCCAGATATAAGGTGAGGGTTTTTTCAATGTTAATACTGCCCGCAATTTACGCTGAAGGTATTTACCATTCTGTCAGTAGAGAAGGGGTTTAAACTTAAGTGTAACTTCTATGGACTTAAATTTTTGTGCATTATAATTGTGAACTCCCCTCTCCATCAGCTTCTAAGCCAAACACATGTTAATGCAGCACCTACCACAGATCTAGGTCTGAGCATGGCCAAAAGCAGTACCTCAGAGAGGTAAAAATCATTCAAATCACCTAAGTGAAGATTAAAAAATAAAGAAGACAGTAGCAGAATTATGTCACTGATGGTCATTTTGGAAATACAGCACAGACTAATCCTTGTGCTTGTCACTGCTGACAGATAGCATTAGCAAGATGGCACACAGGACGTAGTTGGCAGGCAAACTGGAGACAGAGCTGCTGAGTGGGGAACAAAATTCTGCTCCTCCTCAGACCAAAAAATGCCCTGTTGGCCCCTGCAGACAAAACTGGGAATCCTGTTCCACAGTGCCCAAAGTTTCACCTGTCCTCTGGATACCAGAAACTCCCCCTCCTTGCTAAAACCAAAAAACTCCTTCAGCTCACCCTTGTCAATACCCAGCAAGACAGTATATTATTGTCTCAAAAATATCAAGTACAAAAAGCCCAATTATAGTCAGCATACCAAAATGGATACACTACACCAATTAAATGGATTCAGGGATGACCAAGAAAAACAAGTGACTAGGAAAGCAGCACTCTCCTGCCAAAAGTCTGGTTCATCAGGCCAAATCCTGCAAAGGAAACGGTGAAGAGAAGACAAGGCCTAGGCCGGACCTCTATACCCAAACACAAGTGCAATCTATTTTGATTCCATGAGTTTGCGGTATTTATCTCTTCCTGGAGCTATACAACCTGCTCTTTTTGGCGTCAACAAAATATGATGCAATGTCATAAAAGGAGAAGTAGGGTGGCTTCAGGTGAGATAGAAAGTTGGGTTCTGAGAAAAGAACTCTAAAGCAAAAGAGCCACTAATATATTCCTAGTCATAATAAAAAGACAAAGGAAGTATTTAAGCATGGAAAAAGAAAATATGTGAATAATACCTCAGCAGTATAACAAGTAACTGGGATTTCTCATAAAAATTTCCTCAGAGGCATGCTTTTAAATGTAAAGTTGGCTCCCTCAAACCAAAAGAATAAGTAATTTGTACAAGCACCTGAAGTATTTTTTAGAGGAACAATGGACTTGGTGTTGATTGCAGCAATATAATGAAAGTGGACTAGTTAAAATAACAACCTCTGCATAGGTTTGTGTTCCAAGCTAAACAACATTGTCACAGCTAATTCCAGTGCACTCAAGACAGCATGACAGGCTAAGTCCACCCTGTGCTGCTGAGGATATGACCACTTATATAGACTTTTTCCCCTGTGTGACTATGTGTGGCCAGAACAAACACAAAGCAATCGCCATTTCAATACAGAGTTGAAATACTGTGGGATATCAAGAGAACCTCACTACCAAATGATGGCTGCACAAATTATGTATTCTAGAACTGCTGTCCCAACCTTATTACCAAAATCTAGTCAAAACCAGGTTGTTGAGAAGTCAAGCTGTGTCACATCATCAGTCAGTACATTTTCCTGGTGCCTACAACCTTCTGCTGCACTGCTAAGCGCCTTTAAATGGACTCCAGCACTACTTTTCAAATAAAAGCAAAATGTACTGTGCAAAGTACAGAACCTCCAAAGATGCTGAAAATAACTGTCAGAGGTGCAAACTTGATTCGGCTCAACAGAGTCTTAACCATAAAAATTAGACTTGACAGTTTAAATGTCAACATTTAAGCTTATTTTATTCCGCACTGAAGCACTTACAGAAACAGAAAAAGTCTGCTCTGACAAGTATAATTTTGGCATAAAATGAGGAAGGTTTAGGTTCTGAGACCAGAACAACCATTCACTGTCCAGTTATTTATAGGTGATTCGTCTCACCTCTCTAGCAGAACAGCACCCAGAATCCCATGCCATCCCAGCCATCATCATATGATTCCCACTGATTCAGCTAGGACATATATTTCAAAGTCATTGGCTTAAAGATGTCAGGTAACGGGAAAATTTTTATTTCCTTTACATGTTATGTCAAGCACAAGCAGACTCACAGATATGTATGCGTGGTAACAGTGGTTCCCCTCCTGTGTCAAAGCTCTTTGCCTTTACGCATCTCATACAGCTCACCTAAAGTACTACAAGTGGGTCTGGAAGTCCTCTGCAGGTCATACCATTTAATAAAGATAGCTAGAAAAATATTTAAAATAGCAAAAAGATAACTTCCGATAGTTTTCTGTCTCAGTATGTATTAGATTATTAAAATATGGCTGCGTACCAGCACCCAGAGGAGATTTTGACAATAAACATAGTATTTTGGTGATTTTTTTGTACATTATTGTAGTAACAAAGCCTTTCCAACAACACTCAAATGTTGTTGGAGCAGGTGGAGGCTGAAGGAAATTCATAGAATCATAGAATGCTATGGGCTGGAAGGGACCTCCAAAGGTCATCTAGTCCAACCCCCTTTAGTAATCAGGGACATCCCCAACTAGATAGATTTCTCAGAGCCCAATCAAGCCTGACCTTGAATATATCCAGGGATGTGGCCTCCAGTACCTCACTGCACACTTGCCACACTGCCTTAAAGAACACACAGATTTATTCTAACTTGCACCACAGCAAACTAAAAATCAGTTTTTACTTTACACTTCCCCTAAGGGCCTGTAGACACAATTCTGGCCTTAAAGCAAACCAGACGTGCAGTACTGCATCTGCTGTCCAACCCAGGGCTGCCTCCCCTCTGTGAGCATTAAGTATCACCTAGCTCACAACTGGGCCAACCTGCCTAAGCATTAAAAAATTAGGAGACAGAGAGGCACAGGCAGAGGCAGTGGGGTATGGGAGAAAGACTGTGTCCTAAGCTGAACCTATGGACAGAACTTGGGCTGCTTTGACCAAGGTATCTGTCAGTCCTGCAAAGCCAGCAGCCACTGCAGCGCAGACCCTTTGGGGAACAGAGCAGGCTTATGGCAAAGCAAGGAAGCAAGGCAGAAGGAAAGGGAGAGCAATTGTCCAGAGGTCACCACACAGCACCCGTGCCAGGCTGCCAGAACACACGGGGCTGTGAGAGCACAACACCCGTACACCCACCCGTACAGGGGCTGCTCAGGTCTGTCTCAGCACCCTGGGCACAGGAGTGGCAGACAC